GCCATCTCCCAGGGAACCACAGAGAGACAGTTTCCGATTTTAAACAGACCCTCCCCTGTCTTGGCGTTACCTCTCGTGGACGCCACGCCCCGACCTAGCTGGTGTGCCCAGACCCCAAGTACAGAGGTGACCAGAGGGATCAGTGCCCTGGGGAGCCAGGGGCGTGGCTGACTGAAAACTTGGGGAGCATCACTCCCCAGTTTAGGTAGTGGGTGATCCTGGCTGGCCTGAGGCTGAGAGTCAGGGCTGGGGGTGGTTACGTTCACAACTCCACCCTCCAGGAAACAAGGACCCTTGATGTCCAGCCACTGAGTCCCACATACAGGACCGCACACTGGAAGGACCTGGGGTTCGCCTGTGCAGGGCAGGAGGCTTCCCAGGTGGCGCTAGTGGTAAAGAACCCGCCTTTCAATGCGGGAGACCTGGGTTCAATCCCTGGGTGCGGAAGATCCCCTGGAGGAGGGCATGGCAACTCACTCCAGTGTTCTTGTCCGGAGAATCCCACGGACAGAGGAACCTGGTGCAACTTAACACGCATGCATGCATGTGCAGGGCAGAGGGGTGAGGTCAGCATGGGACCCCTGGGAGACTCAGATGGCTGACAATCTGTGGCTTCATCTCATTATCCCAACAGCGCTAGCCACAGTGAACCATGGTCACGCACAGATCAAGAAACGCTAAACTCCTGTTTTGGGGTCAATGGGCCCCACCGAGGAAACCCAGGAATACTGGAAGCAGGGATTTCCGGGGAGGAGGCTGCCTGGGGAAATGGCTTTGGGCTCAAAACACGGGCCGAGCTCTAGGGGCATCTCTGCTTTCTTAGGGGGACAGAGGTACGTGCGGCGGATGGGGAGATGAAGTCAGGGGCGCAGAGCTGCTCCCGGGAGGGTCCCTGCCTCCAGCCACCGCGGGGTGGGGGAGTGGGTGGGGAGTTGGGGGGAGCTCCTGGGTCACACAGGCGCCCTCCTGCCGAAATTCAACTTCCACCAAGGAGTGCACACGGGGAGCCTGGATCGGAAATGCGGTCATTGAAGATGCCACTCCTGGAAGAGCCCAAGGTGAGCGCACCGCGGTTTCCGTGGCGACCCCAGACGGGGACAAAAACCAAGCCCTGCAGTTTCCCGGCTTGGAAATAAGTCGGCTTGCCTAGGTTTCTCTAGTTCGCTGCAGAAGCCGCTGTGGGTGCAGGCAGCTGGACACCCGCATCCCCTCCGCTGCATGAGCCCTCGGCCCTGCCCAGCACGCCCCTCCCGTACTCGCCCCAACCCTCCCCTCCACGCCCCTCCCCTGCCCTAAGCCCTTCCCTTCCCCTAGGCCCCTCCCCTCCACACTCCCCTGCACNGAGACAGGAGACCCTGTCCCCCGCGAGCGAGGCGTCCTAGACCCCAGGCCCCTAGCTGCGGCCAGGGCAGAAACCCAGAGGCAGGCGGCCTCAGGACCGGGACGTGCCCAGCTCCAGACACCCCACCACCGTGTCTGCGCAAACTCGCCGAGCATGTGACCTCAAGACCCTCCAGGGACCCAAGCCCCTCTGAGCGCCCTCAAGTATCCCCTCCCCAGGCCCCAAAGCCTCCTGGATGCCACACAAACACCTCCAGGACGCCCCTGTCCTCGTGTGCGTGCGTGCGTGCATCCGTGCGTGCGTGCATGCGCCTGTGTGCGTGCGTGCGTCCGTGCGTGCGTGCATGCGCCAGTGCGCGTGCGTCCGTGCGTGCGTGCATGCGCCTGTGTGCGTGCGTCCGTGCGTGCGTGCATGCGCCTGTGTGCGTGCGTCCGTGCGTGCCCGCTAAGGCGCTCAGTCATATCCGACTCTTTGCAACCCAGAGGACTGTAGCCCGCCAGGCTCCTCTGTCCGCGGGATTCTCCAGGCAAGAACACTGGAGTGGGCTGCCATGCCCCCCTCCAGGGGATCTTCCCCCGCCCAGGGATCGAACCTGCATCTCTTACGTCTCCTACCGTGGCAGGTGGGTTCTTTCCCACTAGGCCCACCTGGGAAGCCCCCGTGTGTCCTCACAGACCGCCTTCTATATGAGCGCCCCGAGACATGCCATCACTGATTCCGGTCCTTGTGAATGAAACGTTCCGGACACATCCAGCGTGGATACGAGAACGGCCTCAGTTGCCCTCCGGATGCCCGCTGCAGCCCTCTGTCCTGGGTCTCCTACGGGCGGCCGTTCTCCGGACACTCCGGGGCGGGGGTGTCACCTGGCTTTCAGTACACCTGCGCGGGTGTGAGGAGGCAGCCAGGGAAGGGGACAGAGCCTGCGTCTGCCGCTGAGGTTGGTGCCACATAGTCCGGGTCTCCCCTCCGGCCAGAGTCCACCCCTCTGTTCCTCAGTTCAGTGGTGCCTGACTCATTGCGGTCCCCTGGACCGCAGCACAGCAGGCCTCCCTGTCCATCACCATCTCCCCGAGCTTGCTCAGACTCACGTCCATGGAGCCGGTGATGCCATCCAACCCTCTCATCCTCTGTCGCCCCCTTCTCCTCCCGCCTTTGGTCCTCGGAGGCTGAGACACCGGGGCTCGGAAACGGGCGTGCAGCTCGCTCAGACTCACGTCCATGGAGCCGGTGATGCCATCCAACCCTCTCATCCTCTGTCGCCCCCTTCTCCCCCCCGCCGCCTTTGGTCCTCGGAGGCTGAGACACCGGGGCTCGGAAACGGGCGTGCAGCTCGCTGCCGCCCCCGTGTGGTGGCTGTGGCCGTAGCCGGCCTCCACCGCCTTCTCGGCTGAGCCTGCAGGGTGCCCGGGGAGGCATTTCTGGATCGTGACGCCAGGGACCGCGCCTAAGTGGGGCGCTCGCTTGACCCGGCCACGTGCTCGGGACCCATCTTCGGCACAGGTCTGTCTTCTCTGCAGAGACACCTGGCCTCACCTCTCTCTTGGAAGCCTCTCTTTAAAGTTCACTCCTTCCCCGTGTTCCCAGCCCCTCCACCGTGAGCAACCCCACGCTGCATTCTGAGCCTGGGATTCTGGCCACTCCACGGGGCTGCAGTGACAGGCGTGGGCTCTTTCATGTGTGGGTTCTGACATGCCGTTTTTGAGCCTATTTGGGGGGGGGGGAATGTGTCTTACCTTTTACAGAGGAACATCACGGCCATGCCAAACAAAACCGTGGCCCCCACCGCCAGCCCGATCGAGACCACCAGGAAATTCTTCTCGGGGACGCCTGGCGGGCAGACACGCAGAGGGTCAGGCGTGACTGGGCGATCCGCTTTGCACACACCAGCCCTGCCCGCCCATCCCTGGTATCGGGCGACAGGGGGAGCTGTGGTGGGGGAAGCAGGGCTGGAGAGGAGGAGGGGGGTGCTTCCAGACAGAGGGACCGCAGGGGTTTGAGAAGGATGGCACCAAAGAGTCTATTCTTCTGGGATCCTGCGCCCACCACACCACACTGTGTATCGCTGTCCCCAACCAGTCCATCCTAAAGGAAATCAACCTTGAATGTTCATTGGAAGGACTGACGCTGAAGCTGAAGCTCCAGTCCTTTGGCCACCTAATGCGAAGAACTGACTCCTTGGAAAAGACCCTGATGCTGGGAAAGATTGAAGGCGGGAGGAGAAGGGGGCAGCTGAGAATGAGATGGTTGGATGGCATCAACGACCCGATGGATATGAGTTTGAGCAAATTCCGGGAGACAGTGAAGGACAGAGAAGTCTGGCATGCCGCAGTGCACGGGGTCACAAAGAATCGGCACAACTGAGCAACTAAACAACAAATCTCCCCGCCTCCCCCCTTGCCACTCTCAAAAGATGATGCACCAGTTACTTTTCCACAAAGGCACAATTAATACTGCATAATGCCTTCCTTGTCGGTGAATATTAACTTTCAGTTCTGCACTGCATAGCCAAAGGAATGAATGCGTAATTGCAAAATGTCAAGGGTGAGAGAAAGAGGTGTGTGTGAGCAACTGAACAACAAAAATGAAGGTGAACTGGTTTGAAAGAGAAACNCCAGTGGTCATGTATGGATGTGAGAGTTGGACTATAAAGAAAGCTGAGCGCCAAAGAACTGATGCTTTTGAACTGTGGTGTTGGAGAAGACTCTTGAGAGTCCTTTGGACTGCAAGGAGATTCAACAAGTCCATCCTAAAGGAGGTCAGTCCTGGGTGTTCATTGGAAAGACTGATGCTGAAGCTGAAACTCCAATACTTTGGCCACCTCATGCGAAGAGCTGACTCATTGGGAAAGACTCTGATGCTGGGAAAGATTGAAGGCAGGAGGAGAAGGGGACGACAGAGGATGAGATGGTTGGGTGGTATCACCGACTTGATGGACTTGAGTTTGAACAAGCTCCCGGAGTTGTTGATGGACAGGGAGGCCTGGTGTGCTGCGGTCCATGGGGTCGCAGAGAGTCAGACACGACTTAGCGACTGAACAACAATCAGGGCTCTCGGCTGCCCGTCTGTGTCCGTGCCTCCTGCAGGGTCCCCATGCCCTCGGGACGTGGGCTTGCGGTTATTCTGAGTCTACACAGAGGGGTGACTTCCTGGTGGTACAGTCGTTAAGACGCTGCACTTCCGCTGCTGGGGTGCAGGTTCAATCCCTGGCCTGAGAACTAAGATCCCGCATGCCTCGCAGTACAGCCAAGATAAATAAATAAAAATACTTAAAAAAAAAAAAAACTGTTGAAAAAAAATGAAAGGATTCTACACACAGGATCTGGGATAGGACAGGAACGTGCAGGGCACAGCCAGGCCCGGACGCCCGTGGACGCCTCACCCACACGCGGACACCGGACAGTCCTTTTCCTACGGCTGGGGGTCAGAGCATGGCAGTCCCTGGACGCCCCCTGGGGCTCTCCTGGGACCTGCACATCTGGAGAGGCTGGGTGGTCAGGGAGGAAAGGGGGGCCTGGTCTGGGGCACCCGGTGGCCACAAGGATCTGGGGCTGAGCTCCATGCAGAGGCTCCAGGGGAGGGTCCTCCCCGCCTCTTCCAGCTTCCGGGGGCTCCAGGCGTCCGTCCCTGGGCCAGTGGCCGCCTCCCTCCCGTCTCTGCCTCCGTCTCTGCGTGGCTTCTCCTCTGTGTCCCTGTCTCTCCTCTTGTGTGTCTTGTAAGGACCGGTCCCTGGGTTTAGGGCCACCCCCGTCCAGGAGGAACCTCATCTCAGACCCGTCCCTCTGCAGAGACCCCGTTTCCGAATAAAGTCCTGTAGTGCAGTTCTAGGCAGACCTGACTTCTCGGGGGACCCTTTGAGCTCACTGCAGAGTGGACTCAGGAGCAAGGGGGCCCATTTGGGACCACGATGTTATTCCGTCCACGAGAAGGGTGACAACAGGCTGCCTGAGCTGAGTCAGAGGCGTCTGGGAAACTACAACTTCTCCATCGGTCCCCAGAGCCTGGTGACCCCGAAACGCAGGCACGGAGGGACCCAGGGCCGAGCTGAGCGCCCTGCCCGCGGAGGGCGGGACTCTGAGCATGTGTGATTCAAACACAGATGCAGCAGAGAAAGAAGACATACTTACGGGTTCTCTCTTAGAAAAGCTGCCCTGTAAAGAGAGAGCAAAGGAGAGATGTAAGTGCCTGTCTTTTCGGCTTTGTCCGCCAACTCGAGACCCCCCTGGGAATCCCAGGAGGGCTGTGAAGGTTATTTTAAGCTGGAGATAATTGAGATTCCACAGATGCAGCGATTTAAAAGAGGCTCCTCGGAGTTTCTGTTATCAAGCTGAAAGCAGAAAGCTGCTGGGAGTGAGTGCTAAGTCGCTCACTTGTGTCTGACTCTTGGACCCCAGGGACTGGATCCCCGCCAGGCTCCTCTGACCATGGGATTCTCCAGGCAAGAATACTGGAGTTGGTTGCCATTTCCTTCTCCAGGGGATCTTCCCGACCCAGGGATCGAACCTGGGTCTCCTGCATTGCAGGCAGNTGGGATTCTCCAGGCAAGAATACTGGAGTGGGTTGCCATTTCCTTCTCCAGGGGATCTTCCCGACCCAGGGATCGAACCTGGGTCTCCTGCATTGCAGGCAGATTCTTTACCATCTGGGTCACCTACTCCATGGGATGCTCCAGGCAAGAGTACTGGAGTGAGTTGCCATTTCCTTCTCCAGGGGAGCTTCCTAACCCAGGGATCGAACCCACCTCGCCTGTATCTCCTGCACGGGCAGGTGGATTCTTTACCAAACTTAGGGCTGTGTTTACCCCTCTGTCGTGTCTGACTCTTTGTGACCCTGTGGACTGTGGCCCGCCAGGCTCTGTGCATGCAATTCTCCAGGGGGTCTTCCTGACCCAAGGATTGACTGAACAACATCAGCCCTGGTGTTCTGGCGGTTAGGACTCTTGTGTTTCCACCGCTGAGGGCAAAGGTTCTATCCCTGGTCCAGAACAAAGACCACAAAAGATGTGTAGCCAAAAGGAAAAAGAAGGAACACATTTTTTCTCTCCTCTCCTAGCCTTTCCTCTCTCCATGTTAGAAGGAAAGATGCTACCTTTCGGTATGTGAATTCCGTGCAGGAATGAATGAAAGTTGATTTATTTTTTTTTGTTGGGGCCCCTGCTCTGAGAGAACTTGCCTTCCTGCGGGGAGGGAGAGAGGCAGACAGCAGACGTGGATGAAAGCCCTAAACGGAACTGCTAGAACCACGAAACCCTGAGACTCAAACACACGCACCATCTTTATGACCTGCTGCTGCTGCTAAGTCGCGTCAGAGTGGTGTCCAACTCTGTGCGACCCCATAGACCGGCAGCCCACCAGGCTCCCCCGTCCCTGGGATTCTACGGGCAAGAACACTGGAGTGGGTTGCCATTTCCTTCTCCAATGCATGAAAATGAAAAGTGAAAGTGAAGTCGCTCAGTCGTGTCCGACTCTTAGCGACCCCATGGGCTGCAGCCCACCAGGCTCCTTCATCCACGGGATTTTCCAGGCAAGAGCACTGGAGTGGGGTGCCATTGCCTTCTCCTCTTTATGACCTAGGGCCCTGCAAGCCGGTTTCCTAGGTACGACCGCCGACACCGTCGATGACAGAAAAAAAAAAAACAACCAAACAGCAGTTCGTAAGTGAACGTCAGCAAAAATGAATGCGCACGGACCTCCCTGGGGTGGGGCAGGGTCCGTGGTTAACGCTCTGCCTGCCGACGCGGGAGACATGGGTTCGATGCCTGGTCCAGGAAGATCCCGCGTGTCCTGCAGCAACTAAACCTGAGCGTTAAAACTACTGACTCTAGAGAGCAGCCTCCGCTGTCTGCAACTGGAGAAAAAGGTCCGCGTGCAGCGACAAAGCCTCAGCGCAGCCAAAAATAAATTAAGAAATCTTAAGAGGAGTGAGCGGCACTTTTAGGACAAAGAGACAGTAAAGGACGCATCACAGAAGAGACTCGTGAGGCAAAGAGGGACGTCCGAGTGTGTGTGTGAGGGCGGGGGCTGGACCCCAAAGCGAGAGGAGCAGAGGAGAGGCAGTCCGCGCTCCCCCACGAAGGTCCAGGTCCTCACCGTCTTCTGGATATCCAGCGCGTAACGCAAGACGCTATTGGACAGGCTGTATCTGATGGCGGGGGCATCCCAGCGAATCACGTAATGGGACACGTTGTCCTTGACGGTGAGGTTCGCGGGTGGGTTATACTTTTCTGAGAAGAGACCCAAACAGGAAACAGGGTCACACACCTGCAACCCACAGGAGCCAAGTGGGCGCGAGGCAGCGGAAGGACATTCCCCCCGGTAACCTGGGCCCGTTTCCGTGTCGTTGCATGAAGCCGGACACAAAACCCTGAATCCTGGGGATGCCAAACCTCAGGTCCGCTGAGCGTGCGTCCTGGGCTTGTCCGCTCCTGGCCGGGCTCCCCCGCCCTCTGCCTCTACCTTCAGCCTCGCCGGAGCCCCAGGCAGAGATGCTGCCATGCGAGCTACGTTGCTTCGGCTGCGTCCACGAGGGCTGTAGCCCCGCCAGGCTCCTCCGTCTGTGGGGCTTCTCCAGGCAAGAATACCGGAGTGGGCTGCCATTCGGAGAAAGTTCTCCGGGCACATCCCTCGCCTGTTCCGGGACACCCTACAAGCGGGAAGTAAACTAGCCCAGCATCTACAGGTACCACCCAAGCAGGCAGACTTGGTGTCAACTCTTGGAGTCACTGGGCTGTCCTGGAGGCTCAGATGGTAAAGAATCCACCAGCCAATGCAGGAGACTCGGGTTCCATCCCTGGGTCGGGAAGATCCCCTGGAGGAGGGAAACAGCAACCCACTCCAGTACTCTTGCCTGGAGAAGCCCATGGACAGAGGAGCCTGGCGGGCTGCAGTCCCTGGGGTTGCAAAGACTGGGACGTGACTCAGTGACGAAATCACCTGCAGCAGCACACGTCTTTATGTGTCTGAATTACTTCTGTTAGCATGAGACCCTGCAAGCCCATCCACGGTGTTGCAAATGGCAGAAGTCTTTTTTTTTTTTTTTTATGGCTGAGTAGTATTTCAGTCCTGGGTGTTCACTGGAAGGACTGATGTTGAAGCTGAAACTCCAACACTTTGGCCACCCGAAGTGAAGAGCTGACTCATTTGAAAAGACCCTGATGCTGGGAAAGATTGAGGGCAGGAGGAGAAGGGGGATGACAGAGGATGAGATGGCTGGATGGCATCACTGACTCGACGGACACGGGTTTGGGGGGACTCCGGGAGTTGGTGATGGACAGGGAGGCCTGGCATGCTGTGGCTCATGGGGTTGCAAAGAGTTGGACACGACTGAGTGACTGAACTGAGTATTTCCTTGTGGGATTCCCAGGTGGTGCTAGTGGTAAAGAACCCGCCTGCCAAGGAGACGTTAAGAGACATAGGTTCAACCCCTGGGTTGGAAAGATTCCCCTGGAGAAGGGAGTGGCAACCCACTCCAGTGTTCTTGCCTGGAGAATCCCATGGACAGAGGAGCCTGGCAGGCTACAGTCCATGGGGTCGCTGACAGTGGAACACGACTGAGGTGAGTTAGCACAGCATTTCATTGTATATATGCACTATATATTCTTTTTCCATTCACCAGGTAATGAACCCTTAGATGGCTTCCTTATCTTGGCAATCGTCAACCACGCTGCGATGAACATTGGGGTTCGTGTCATCTTTTTGAACTGGTATTTTCAGTTTTGCATGTTTGGTGTTTTATTTCTTAAGATATATAACCATGAGTGGAATTGCTGGGTCATACGTTTAGTTCTGTTTTTAGTTCTTTTGAGACACTTCCACACCGTCTTCCACACCTCCACGCTCTCTGCACAAAGAGTCAGACACGACGGAGGGACTTATACACACACACTCCTGGAGTCACTCATGTGCCCAACTCAAGGTCAACACACCGGCCAGTCCAACAAATGGTCTGTCCAGAACCAGACTCTGTGATGTGGGAGCGTCCCCCAGAAGGACACTAGGTCCCCTACACAGAGAGGAATTCCTTTCCAAGACTGCGTCCGTCAGTCCGGTTTGTTCACGTGCTACGCAAGCACACACATCCCACCCCAAGGGAGAGTCATGACCCTGTCTACACCTGGGGTGGTTGTTCAGTCACGCAGCCGTGTCCGCGTCTCGGCATCCCCGTGGGCTGCCGCACGCCAGGCTTCCCTGTCCTTGAATATTGCCCGGAGTTTGCTCAAACTCGAGTCCATTGAGCCGGTGAGGCCATCCAACCATCTCCTCCTCTGTCGTCCCCTTCTCCTCCCGCCTTCGATCTCTCCCAGCATCAGGGTCTTTCACCCCTAATCTAGATCCCGCCGAGGCCAGCTCTGGAACGCAACGCGCAGCCTCCAGAGCCCTGGGACAAATGCGAACGCCGTGAAGCAGACGGCTGGCGGAGGAGCAGAGCAATACAAGGGCAGTGAGCGACCGTCTTACCCAGCCTCGGGCCGTTCACGGGAGGACAGTCCAAAAACTGGATGTCTGTGTCACTGCTGGTTCCGTTCACCAGGAAGAAGTAATCGTCTGTGGTGTGGCCTTCGCCGAGCTCGTCGAAGTGGCAGCCCACGCGCGTCCCGGCCGAGTCCAGGATGTAGAGGCCGCACTCGGACACGTTTCCGTGCCTGTGACGTCCAGAAAAGACACCAAGGAGCAGCTGAGTGGTGTGTATCCTCCTGGGGTTCTTCTTGTTCAGGAGCTCAGTCATGTGCGACTCTTTTGTGACCCCCTGGACCGCAGCCCGCCAGGCTCCTCTGTCCGTGGGATTCTCCAGGCAAGAACACTGGAGTCGGTTGCCATGCCCTCCTCCAGGGGATCTTCCCGACCCAGGGACCGAACCTGCATCTCTCACATGTCCTGCATTGGCAGGAGGGTTCTTTACCCCTGGCCCCACCTGGGAAGCTCACACATATATATATATGTTGTGTCTGTGTGTGTGTGCATGCTATGTGCCTGAAGCTGCTGTACTTAGTTTGAATGATGCTTCTCAGTTGTTAAAAAATAATACAAAGCTGCTCATTTCCTGACACTCTCAGACCCACAGGCGGATTGACAACTTGGAGCGACGAGCCACATGAAGGAGACAGGGAGATGGGTGCTTTTCTCCCTGGCTGTTTGGACATCATAGATCGATGTCCTCCAGTCTGAAAAGAAACATTTCTGGACTGTGGGACGGGCTCATGCGTTTTCCAGCATTTAGCATCCGATCACCTGGAGAAGGCCATGGCAGCCCACTACAGTATGCTTGCCTGGAGAACCCCATGGACAGAGGGCCTGGGCGGGCTACAGACCGAGGGGTCGGAAAGAGTCAGGCCTGAGTGAGTGACGAAGCATAGCAAAGCTCCACTGAGGCCTCGGACTGTGGCCCAGCCCACAGATCACCCAGCATTCAGCTTCAGGACCCTGTGAGTCTCTGCTCCATGGGGTGGGGGTCGGGCTGGGCTCACCCAGCATTCACCATCAGGACTGTGTGAGTCTCTGTTCCATGGGGGGCCCACGGCTGACCCAGCATTCACCCTCAGGACCCTGTGAGTTCCTGCTCCATGGGGTGGGGGGCGGGCTGGGCTCACCCAGCATTCACCATCAGGACCCTGTGAGTCTCTGCTCCATGGGGGGAGCAGGGCTGATCCAGCATTCACCCTCAGGACCCTGTGAGTCCCTGCTCCATGGGGTGGGGGGCGGGCTGGGCTCACCCAGCATTCACCATCAGGACCCTGTGAGTCCCTGCTCCATGGGGGGAGCAGGGCTGATCCAGCATTCACCCTCAGGACCCTGTGAGTCCCTGCTCCATGGGGTGGGGGGCGGGCTGGGCTCACCCAGCATTCACCATCAGGACCGTGTGAGTCCGTGCTCCATGGGACAAGCCCGTGGCTCCCCCAGCATTCCACACCCGGACCCCAGCCAGGCTTACACAGAGGTCCATGTGTAGAGCTGATACCGCACGTCTGCAGGGGCGGCCGGGCCCCGCGTCCAGCTGCAGTTCATGAATCGGATGTTGTAGATGACGCACGAGAGGTTCTGGGCTCCGGAGCCCTCCTTGCCTGGGAAGACAAGACAGCCAGTTCCTCACCGCAGGCCAAGTCATCAGCAGCGCCCCGCCGGCCACATGGACGCCGGGCACCGTAGGAAACGTGCCCAGCGGCCGGGGAGACGTCACCTGGGTTTTTAAAGGTCAGCTGGCACGAGAACTCCTGGCCCTCAGAGGTGGCGTTCACGGTCAGCGTGGCCCCCTGGTGCAGGACGGCGTTGGGAAATGTGCAGAAGTAGGAATCGTTGTTTCTGACCTGTAAGGGGCGGAAGGGAGAATAAATGTACAACCTGTGGTGTGGGCTCCGTGCGTTGGATTCAGTCCCGCGACAGTTCCAGTGACTCGGGGTAGCGTGGGGCACCCTCACAAGGACCCATGTCCTTTTTTATTGCCGTGCGGTTAACAGATAATGTGAGATTAGTTTCAGCTCGACAACAGTGTGGTTCACAATTTGTAAAGGTTCTTAAAATACATTTCGGGGCTTCCCAGGTGGCGCTATGTGGTAGAGAACCCTCCAGCCAACACAGGAGAAGCGAGATCCGGGTACGATCACTGGGTGGGGAAGATCCCCTGGAGGGGGACGTGGCAACCCACTCCAGTGTTCTTGCCTGGAGAGTCTCACGGACAGAGGAGCCTGGCGGGGCCACAGTCCACGGGGTCGCAAAGACTTGAGTATGACTGAAGCGACTTAGCATGCATGCAAGCGCTCCATTTTTAGTTATGATATAATATTAGTTCAATTCCCTGCGTTGCGTAATATATCCTGGTAGCTTATTGAATCATAGTAGTTTGTTCCTCTTACTCCTTCTCCCTTACCTTCCCCTCCCCACTCCCCTCTCCCCACTGGTCACCACTAGCTTGGTCTCTGCATCTGTGAGTCTCCTTCTGTTCGGCTATATTCACTAGTCTGTGGTATGTTTTAGATTTCACGTACAAATGATATCATCCGATATTTGTCTTTGTCTGCCTGACATATTTCACTCTGCATAATACCCTCCAGGTCCATCCATGTGGCTGCAGATAGCATCTCTTTGTTCTTTTTCATGGCCGAGTAATATTCCATTGCGTATACATACTTTATCCATTCATCTGCCCGGGGGCACCTAGGTTGCTTTTGTGCCCTGGCTATCGTGAACAGTGCTGTTGTGACCACTGGGGTGTATGTACCTTTTCAAATTAATGCTTTGGGGATCCCAAAACACGCCACTTTGGCATAAAGGTTTTTCAGAGCTAAAGGCAGTGAAGAATCAATAAATGCAGAACCGGTTGCTCTCTGCACAAAAGCAGGCATAGATGTCCCTTTGTGAAGGTGGCATAAACATCCTATCTTATCCACATGGGATTGAGGAGGTTGATGTTTACCACTTAGATGGGGAAGTAGCTTCAAGGTGACCTCATAAAATAACTTTCTTCTTTCTTACACTGCAGTGTGCAGCTTGTGAGATTTCAGTTCCTTCACCAGGGATTGAACACAGCGGTGAAAGCCCAGAGCCCTAACCGCACGGAGCTTAAGGAAGTTAAAGGAACTTTAACTGAAGGAACTTAGGGAACTTAAAACAATCTTCATCTTCCATTAGTTTCCTTACATATTTCTTAGTCACTTCCCCACTATTTTTCAGCCCCAGAAACCCAAATCCCATTTTCTTTGTCTTCTCACGTTTTTGTAATTTATTACCTTTTTAAAGAAAGCCACACAAACCCCCTAGTCCGATCACTTCTTTTCTGTGAAGCCTCATTTATGTCAAAATTAGAAATGCCGGGACTTCCCTGGCGATGCATGGTTAAGACTCCATACTTGCAGTGTGGGGGGCCGTGGGTTTGATTCCTGGTAGGAGAACTAAGGTGCCATATACTGTGTGGCCAAAAACAACAACAAAAAAAAGTGAATAAACTGGGATGCTTTTTCTCCCAGTTACCTGGCTTTTGTCCAGTTCATCTGCAGACCCCAGCCACTGAACCTAAGAAGATGGAGGAAATGTGTTTTCCTCCCAGCCAAGAATATTAAACAGTGAGAGGCTCAAGAGGCATTTTACAAGGAAATTCAAGATTGACAAGGAGCAGAGAGACCCACAGGACGGGAGCCATGAGCACCCACCTGTAGGTTTGGGCTGACGTCGTCGGGGTCGAGAGTCGTGACGATCGCACATGTTTGCCGAGTCACGATTCCCCGGGTGTTCCAGCTTAATATTTTTTTTCTTGGATCCAGCGTCACGTTTACAATAGGAGATTCCGTGTCTCCTGCTGTCATTAAAAACAGAACAAAAAAGACAGTTAGGGAGAATCAGGGCTTCCCTGCTAGTGCAGATGGAAAAGAATCCGCCTGCAATGCAGGAGACTCAGATTCAGTCCCTGGGTCAGGAAGATCCCCTGGAGGAGGGCATGGCCACCCACTCCAGGATTCTTGGCTGGGGAATCCCGGGGACAGAGGAGCCTGGACGCCACAGTACACGGGGTCACAAGAGTCGGACACGGCTCAGCGAGTAAACCACCACCGACACACAAATACATTATATGAATATATTATAATGTATAAGTAAATGCATAGTATAGAAACATGTTTATAGTATAATATATAAATAAATGTATATATAAAGGTATATCTTTATATTTATGTATCATATATTATTAATTCTGTTATTTCCTATATTATATAGCATATATTGTATATAATTATGTTAAATACATTGCATAATAAATATAATGATAACACAGATATATGATACATATATTTATACACAAGTAAATATAACTGTAAATGTAACACAATCTGTGAGAGTACAATATATAGAATATATGTGTATACTATTGATGGGGTAACAGACAGGCATGACAGGGCTCTCTGAATAGAGGACATAGCCTGCACGTGTCAGACATTTTTCATCTCTCTCCTAAGCGGCAGGAGGAGACAAACTAGCGATTATTTTTTTTCCCTTCTCTATACAAATTTAAAAAGAGGTTTCTCCTAAAATGCTGTGTTGCCAGAGTGACCCCTGGTTCCACCTGAACTCAAAACCTTTGTCAAATCTTGAGCTAACCCGTGCATTTTTCTCACGGAAGTGTTAGTCTTAAGCTATGTTAATATATTCTGCATTTACCCCAGACTCTGTCTTCAGGTCTGTTCAGCCTAAAGGCTCAGAGCTGACCTGACAAACCAATATGTCATACTCAGATATTGTTCTCGTAATCTATGTTAATGAAACTATCTATTTGTAAGGGAATCTACCTTTCTTCAAGATTCCTGCCAACGGTGTTATGGCCCAGGATGACTCACCTGGTTCCAAGATTATCTCAAAATGCATCTTGTGGGTGAAAGCCTGATGCCGCTCTCTGGTCTTGAGACATTTCCTTCCTTTAATTAGCAGACTGCTAGTAGCTATATAACATGCGGCTAAAGACTAGTAGGGGGCACTCTCTCTGCCCCTTTCTGATGCCTCTGTCAGAAGCTTTCTCTATCTCCTTTATACATAATAAAGCTTTGTGACACAGAAGCTCTGAGCCATCAAGCCTGTCTCTGTCCCCGGATTGAATTCTCCTCCAGAGGCCAAGAATCCCGCAGGCTTTTCGTGGTTCGGCAGTAACCTTTCAAATTGTTACTATGGAAGTATAATATAGCGATTCGCCACTTTTAAAGGTTGTAATTCATTTACAGGTATTATAAAATATGGGATATACTGCCTGCATTTTGCAACCCATCCTTATGTCTTATCTGTTTTATCCCTCCTAGTTTGATCTCCCGCCTCTTTTAAATCCCGGCCTCTATCTTGCACCCCCTGACTTCCGTCTCCACACCAGGAACCACTAATCTGTCTGCTATACCTGGGAGTAGGCTTCTTTTTTGTGACATCGACTAGTTGCTTGTATTTTTCTGATGCTACATATAAGTGACACCACACAGTATTTGTCTTTCTCTGGAATTAGCTACTTTATTCTGATGTGGACCATTTTTTTTTCCCTGTCTTTTATCGAATCTATTCCAACACCGCTCCTGTTTTACGCTTGGCTTTTTGGCCACGGGGCACGTGGGGGGTGGTCTTAGCTCCCCAACCCGGGGATTGAACCCACACCCTCTACATTGGAAGGGAGAGTCCTAAGCCACTGCAGCCCCGGGGAAATACCGAAGCAAGCTCTTTTAAGGCGAACAACGCAGGGACACCCAGGAGCGCGTGACAGATGGTGGGCGCCCTGAATCATCAGAGGGACCAAATCCAGACTTCGTTGAAGCGCCCAGCCATCCCCATGAGATCAGCTGTGTGCTGTGCTGAGTCAAGCCTGCCAGGCTCCTCTGTCCCTGGGATTCTCCAGGCGGGAACACTGGAGTGGGTTGCCATGCCCACCTCCGGGGGAATCTTCCCCACCCAGGGATGGAACCCAAGCCTCTAACGTCTGCGGCATTGACAGGCGGGTTCTCTTAGCGCCACCTGAGAAGCGGTGCTATAGTGATGTCTACCTCTAGTAATGATTTGAAGAACCAGAAGATAATCGTTGGAGAGGATGCCTAGGAACCGGAACCCTCCATGTTGGCGCGGAAGCAAAGGCAGGGCATGATGCATTGGTTTAAGTGAGCGGCTTGCCCTTTCTGGGCATTCAGGATGGAGGAGGGGATGGGTGAGCTGTGTGGGCGTGTGGGTGTGTGGGTGGTGGGTGGGCGGTGGTGTGCTGTCCCAGAGAGTCCCCTTTGACCTGGGGGCTGGAGTGAAGGAGCTGGTGCTGAACAGGTGCCTCCTGTCAGGACAAGCCTGCCCTAAACGAAGACATTCTCACCACCCACCCCACCTTCTCTCGTCTTTTCTTTGCTTGACCTTTGCAGATGCATAGAAATCCTATAACTGGCTAAATAAAAGCTCTGCCCAGAGGTGACCCTGGAAGAAAGCTGTGCCCACCTGCCCAGTTTCCTAGGAGGAGAGAACCCAGATGCAGCCGGAACTTCCAAACGGCAAACCCACCAGAGGTAACGGGTTCTTCAGTCTCTCAGCTGTGCCTGACTCTCTGCGACCCCATGGACTGCAGCACGCCAGGCCTCCCTGTCCATCACCAACACCCAGAGCTTGCTCAAACTCATGTGCATCGAGTCAGTGATGCCATCCAACCATCTCATCCTCTGTCATCCCCTTCTCCTCATGTCCTCAATCTTTCCCAGTTTCAGAGTTTTTTTTTTCTTCCAATGAGTCGGCTCTTTGCATCAGGTGGCCAAACTATTGGAGCTTCTCATATCAGGTAACATGTTGGACTTGGTTCTCTCACGGGGTGAAGTGTCTTTCCATCTGAGTGATCTCGTTAGCGGGCATAATTCTGGTTCCGGGCTTATTTCACAAGAAGATTGTTTTATGTCTCTGCCCGCTTCACAGAGAGGCTTCCCGGGGATTTTCGGGGGATTTCGTTTTCAATGATGGAAAGCTGGCTTAAAACTCAACATTCAAAAAACTAGGATCATGGCATCCGGTCCCATCAATTCATGGCAAACAGATGGGGAAAAAATGGAAACAGTGACAGACTTTATTTTCTTGGGCTCCAAAATCACAGCGGACGGTGACTGCAGCTGTGAAATTAAAAGACACTTGCTCCTTGGAAGAAAAGCTATGACAGAACTAGACAGCATCTTAAAAAGCAGAGACATCACTTTGCCAACAAAGGTCCGTCTAGTCAAGGCTATGGTTTTTCCAGCAGTCATGTATGGGTGTGAGAGTGGGACTATAAAGAAGGCTGAGCGCTGAAGAATTGATGCTTTTGAACTGTGGTGCTGGAGAAGATTCTTGAGTCTCTTGGACTGCAAGGAGATCAAACAATCAATCCTAAAGGAAATCAACCCTGAATATTCATTGGAAGGACTGATGCTGAAGATGAAGCTCCACTACTTTGGCCACCTGATGGGAAGATCTGAGTCACTGGAAATGACCCTGATGCTGGGAAAGACTGAAGGCGGGAGGAGAAGGGGATGACAGAGGATGGGAGGGTTGGATGGCATCACTGACTCAATGCACATGAGTTTGAGCAAGCTCTTGGAGATTTTGAAAGACAGGGAAGCCTGGTGTACTGCAGTCTATGGGGGCATAGAGTTGGACAGAACTGAGTGATTTAATGACAACAACCTTAACATAGGCAGCAAATCTGACATTCCAGCTGAGTTTGGGGTTTGGGGCTGGAGCTGTAGGACTCTCCCTCGCTTCCAAGTCCCTTATTCTGCTGAATAATAAAGGTATCCACCTCTAGAATGATTTGCAAGAAGACTCTCTTCACCTAGCAGGGGTGGGAGGTACTCCAGGTCACGAGACACTCTGCCCTTTCAGGGGTTAGGAGGGCGGCAGCCCCCACCCCAGCATGGACTCCCCAGCGTTGGAAGACTTACTGGCACTTACCCAGGGCCGTGGAGCAAGATGAGTTCAGGAGTACCAGGAGGCTTACAAAATCCAACAGGACCACCATGCCTCAGACCTGAAGCTGGACCTAAACCTCCAAAGAGGAGACAGCAGTTCAGAAAACGGATTCCAATCAAGGCAGGAGGACTTCCTTCTTAGCACAACCTCCAGGCAGTCGTTGGGAATCAGAACCTGGCTGCCAGAGCCTTTGTGAGTAGAGAAAAATGGTAGGCCCAAGGCACTTAGCTCAGGGCCAGACAATGTTGACTCATATCCCAAAGTGGCTGCCATGGACCTGCATTCTCATTACATATCCCTTCTTTTCACTGGTAGCCTCACCCCTTCCACCCCTCTAAAGGGTTCTTGGTTTGTCCAAATGTCCCTATTTGGTCAGCAATATTCCATCAGAGTACAGTGTGAGGTTACCATCCTCCTTGTACACCTCTGGGTTACCTGGCACGATCAGATTCCATTTTTCTAAATTTTTTTTACTGGAAGATAGTTGCTTTACAAAATTGTGGTAGCATCTGCCATACATCAACATGAGATTCCCTTTTAAATTCTGTTTCAAACTCTATCCATAGCATCAAATTTTTAACACATATTCATGATGACAAGTCTCAGCAAACTGGGATTAAAGAAATGTTTTCTGGGCTCTGCCCAACCTATTTTTCTCCCTTCAGCCCACTACCACTGGTCCACATTACTGCTGCTGAGAGGTATACTTGGGAGTGGCTAATCAATATTATTATTATTTTTTTTTCCAAATTAGAAAGTGTCCTCTGCAGAGGACCTTACCCTGGAACTCCCCTGAGCCAAGAGGAAATGGCTCCTGTTGTAATCAATATTATTTTAAGCTGATCCTCTCCTAAGTGGTCAGTGAGGGTCTGGGGAGGTGACACCCCCAATGAAAAGAAGGGATGTATGATGAGGACGCTGGGTCCACAGCATCCACTTTGGGGCATGAGGCAACTGTCTGTCCCTGAGTTCAGGCACCCTGGTTTTTTTCATTTTCTTCTGCTCACAAAGGCCCCAGCAACAACCTAGGGGATAAACCATGGCTTAGGAGGGTCAGCTGACTCCCAAACACTTACCTCTCCTTTGAAAAAACTGCTTCTTTCACCAGGGCAGCAAGGAAAAAAAAAGTCTGTAAGAAGTTCTAGAATATTCTGACGGAGGTTCTTTTTATGTTTGGTGATTACAGGGCTGGGTTTGGTGCATTTGAGTAGATTTTTTTTTCTTTCCTGATATCTTCACGACTTTACGAACATAAAGAGATGGGCACGCCCTTGCTGGTTGCACAGAGGTGATCAGGAGGGAAGCTGCAGGCGACCTGCCTGACAATGAAACAGCTTTGCAGGAGGAGGTGATAGCAGCCAGGAGGCCACCCTCAACATGGGGCGCAAGGACCCTCAGCATTTGGGCTCCTTTTGGGAGGCGGCTGCTGACACCCTTTGGAGACAAATTCGTCTCTGTATCTGGGGTAGCCTCCTTTCTGCCCCAGGTCTCAGCGGCGAGCCAGAAGTCTTCCTCTTTAGGACAGGCTGAGGCAGGGAAGGACAGGGCTTCGGGAAACCACAGCGTGCGTGCAAACTGGACGCCTCTTCCTTGGTGGGTGGAGAGGAACAGGACGTGCTCGGGGCGGGGGAGGGTGCGCAACGGCTGTGCTTTCTCTGTTTCAACAGATTCTGTCCACGAGCAGCGGGGCTCTTTATCCATGTGGTCCGCACGCCCACGGCCATCCTTTTCCACGGAAGCTTTCTGTGGCTGAACCTCATGCACCGTCCCAGCGTTTGGAGAGGTGTCAGCCCTGCCCACGTGTACTTTCAGCGGGTGTGTGCCGAGGTTCCCTGCTAGGTCTCTGACCATCATCGCCTCACCCACCGCCTGTTTCCTGCACGTCTCCACGGTGTCAACTGCCTCCAGGGCTATTTTTACTGCAAACGCTCATTTCTTTCCTTCCTTCCTTCCTTCCTTCCTTCTTTCTTTCCTTCCCCTTTATTTAGCTGAGCTGTGTCTTAGCTGCCACATATGGGGTCTAGTCTGACCAGGGATGGATGGAGCCCATGCCCCCTGCATTGGGAATGTGGAGTCTTAGATAGTGGGCCACCAGCAAGGTCCCAGACCCTCACCTTTTCTGCTTATTCACTCAGTCGTGTCTGACTCTTTGCAACCCCAGGGACTGTAGCCGCGCCAGGCTCCTCTGTCCACGGGATTCTTCAGGCAAGAATACCGGAAGGGGGGTTGCCATTTCCTCCTCCAGGGGCTCTTCCCAGACCAGGGATCGAACCCACCTCTCTTGTGTCTCCTGTGTCAGCAGGCAGATTCTTCACCCACAAAGCCATCAGGGAAGCCCCTCACTTCTCATCCATGGACAGACATCTCCATCTCGATTGTTTTTTTTCCCCCATCTGTATCTCTTAAGTCACGACGGGGATGCTTTGAAACGTAACCCCAGCCTCTTGACCTCCCGGAAAATAAGGAAACGTCATGGAATGAGTTCTGGAGATGGACTGGGTCTGGTACCCACCCACTTTCTTCCTGCGGGCCCCGTGCGTCTGTGCGTGCTGAGTCACTCAGCTGTGACCGACTCTTTGCGACCGCGTGGATGGTGGTGCGCCAGGCTCCTCCGTCCGGGGAATGTTCCAGGCGAGAATGCCGGGGTGGCCTGCCATGTGCTTCTCTACCAAAGGAACCTAAACGTCCCCACCTGGCTCCCAGACGCTTTGCAGCGAAAGGCACGGAAAGGCTTCCTGGGGGAATCTGACAGTGGGCCAGTGATGACGACTCTGCACCCTCACTGCAGAGCATCTGGGTTCGAACTAAGATCTGACAAGCCGTGCGGTCAGGAGGTAAAAAAAAAAAAAAGCTTTGCGTGGTTTTGAGCACAGGCTGACATCCCCCGCCACTTCTGTTAAGTTTCATGAGGATGCAGTGAAGGTGATCTCAGTTCTGTGTTTCCCAGGGGAGAGACCTCCCGCCCTCCAGACCCTTGCTGGGTGTTACCGTAAGCCAGATCAGAGGGAGCTATGTCCCCAATGAGGGTCTGTGTCCCCAGCGAGACCGAAGGGGATGGGAGTGGAAATCAGTCCTGTGCGTGTTGTCCCGTGAGAACAAAACCGTCGAGGACTTCATAGCTTAAAGACTCCCCCAAAGGAAATATTTCACAGGTAGACAGCGCGGGCTTCCCAGGTGACGCTAGCAGCAAAGAATCCACCTGCCAAGGCAGGAGACCCAGGTTCGCTCCCCGGGTCAGGAAGACCCCCTGGAGGAGGGCATGGCAACCCACTCCAGTGTTCTTGCCTGGAGAAGCCCAGGGACAGAGGAGCCTGGCAGGCTACAGTCCACGGGGCTACAAGAGTCGGACAGGACCGAGCGACCAAGCGTGCACGCAGATAACACGGTGTACAGAGGAATCGGACCCCACCAGACAACGACTCCCCGCCACGTCAGTCGGAAACGGAGAAGACCCAGTGTCCGCCCTTCCCTTCCCGAAGCTCCGGTGGCGTGACTTTCTCCCCGGTAGCTCCTTTCTCCAGCCTCCCCTGGGCTGAGGCCGTCTCTCTGGGACTCCAATCTCCAGTCCCATCACAAACCCACGTGGTCAGAGGATCCCACCGGCCAGAGCAAGCCCCCCTGAAAATGGGGGTGCCGTCCACTTACCGGTCTGTCAGCTTTCTGGATCTTTCTCGCCCAACTGTCCAAATCCGGGGCTCCTTGGAGCCGCTGCCTGCCTGCCCGGGGTACGTGGCGGGTGGACAGTGTCAGACACTTCAGTAGCAGGCTCCCCAAGGGGGGAGAGCCCCCAATGCCCTTCCGGATGTAGGATTCGGGGGACAGCTATGGCAGGTATGGCTGAATCTGGTCCTCCGCACGAACACGCTCTTTCTCTCTCCCTCTCTCTTTAAATAATCTCCTAGCAGCAGAGCCTTCCTCGTCTCTGAGTGACCAGCCAGTTGTTATCATCTCAAGGAACAGGAAATGTCATAACACAGTCCACATTCCCTCTCAAGCAAGTAGCCTGCCTCTCAGTTTTTTTTTCTTTTTTGTTTAATCAACCTCACAAGGTTCCTCTTTTAGCAGCAGGGGTCTAGATGGCCACTTGGCTTTCCTGCATGTTCTGGTCAGGGGTGGCAGGGGTCACCGGGGTGTTGGATCTGTGTCCCCGTGTTCGGGAAACTGGCTTCTCCTTAGAGCATCCTCTGCATCCACTGGGAGTTGGCTCCCTTTCAGCTCGGAAGCTCTGCCAGAGGTTGGGACTGGCTCTTGCTCGGGTCTGTGTGCCCCAGGGGCCCCGGGTCAGAGGGAGGGAAGAACCGAGCTGACTTACATTCAGGCCATCTCTCCCTAAGGAGTGTCTCACAGCCCCCTGCTATGTCACACTCCATTGTGTCCGGCTCTCTGCGGCCCCACGGACGGTAGCCTGCCAGGCTGTTTCCACTCTTTCCCCATCTACTTCCCATGGAGTGAAGGGACCGGATGCCGTGGTCTTCGTTTTCTGAATGCTGAGTTTTAAGCCAACCTTTTCACTCTCTTTCACCTTCATCAAGAGGCTCTTTAGTTCTTCTTCGCTTTCTGCCATAAGGGTGGTGTCATCTGCGCGTCGGAGGTGATTGGTATTTCTCCCGGCAACCTTGATTCCAGCTTGTGCTTCCTCCAGCCCGGCATTTCGCATACTGTACTCTGCATGGAAGTTAAATCGGCAGGGTGACAATACTCAGCCTTGACGGACTCCTTTTCCTATTTTGACCCAGTCTGTTGTTCCATGTCTGGTTCTAACAGTTGCTTCTGGACCTGCATACAGGTTTCTCAGGAGGCAGGTCGGGTGGTCTGGTATTCCCATCCCTTGAAGAATTCTCCAGTTGTTGGGAGCCACACGGTCGAAGGCGTAGTCGGTGATGCCGAAGTAGATGAAGGTGTGATTGGAAAACGGCCGCTCTGGCCCTGAGGCTCCAGGGTGGTAGGAATCGCAGGCCCCCAAGGGTGCGACCTGCCCTAGCCCTGTGGGATCACGTGTGGGACCAGACTCAGGGGAGGAGACAGAGCAGGTGCGGAGGCCATGAGTCTGCGAGTCCATGTCCCGTTTCCACCTCTGAGCTGGCACGAGCACCCACGGAAGGACCGGGGATGTCCAGCGCGGCCCCCGGAGCCAGCAGGCACCACCCACTGCAGAGGCCGTCCCCCCGTGTCTCAGACAGACAGACAGACAGAGAGACGGGGCTCCCCGGACCCGGAGGCCCTAAGCAGTCAGCCGCGGCCGCTGGGGGCTCGTCTGAGAGAGAGAGAGACCGAGACACGCTAGATACAGCCGGAGACAGTGCAAGTCGGCAGTGACTCAGTCTGTGCTGCGGTCCGCCCACAAGTGACATTTCTTGAAGTCTCCCTTTTCTGTCTTAACTTCTGGGTTTCATCACCTTAAAGAGAGAGTCGGCCGGGACCCGGTTTTGTTGCAGAAGACCCTGATACGCTCTGTAGATACCGGCTGTTTATTTTCCCCCTCCTGGCTTCGATAATAATTTCATAGGATCGCTGTGTGCTCTCTCGCTCAGCCGTGTCTGACTCTTTACCACCCCGTGGACTGCAGCCTGCCAGGCTCCTATGTCCCAGGGGATTCTCCAGGTAAGAACACTGGAGTGGGTTGTCATGCTGTCCTCCGGGTGATCATCCTGACCCAGGAGGCTAACTCTTCTCTCCTGTGTCTCCTGCATTGGCGGGTGGATTATTACAAATGGACTTTATTTTTTTCACATTTTTGGCTTTTTACATGCACCTAGCAGGAGGCAGAGCGCCCGTGGGCCTCTCCTCCACTCTCCCCTATTTTCCCGTGAGTTCCATGCTACGAACATCCTGCAGTAGGCGGGCAGTGCATCTAAGTCGCTTCAGTCGTGTCTGACTCTGTGTGACCCCATAGACGGCAGCCCACCAGGCTCCCCCGTCCCTGGGATTCTCCAGGCAAGAACACTGGAGTGGGCTGCCATTTCGACACTGCTATTAGCTGGGATGTGGTGTACATGTTCCCGGGGTGGTCCGTTCACGTGTCCATCTGTCCAGATGACAGCCCCATTCATTCACACACTTGCCTAGGGGGTGGCTGGGCACAGGTTTTGTAGGTGTGACTCAAGTTCACAACCAGCTGACTTGAAGCAAACATAAGAGGCTCCAGTGGTGGTGGCCCTTGTCTAATCAGGTGAAGCGGTTATTTTAAAAAAAAAAGTGTAGGGAAGGGGACCTGAAGCAAAGAAAAAAGTGCTTCATGTAGTGGTGGGCCTCATCTAATCAGGTGAAGTTTTCTTGTTAAAATGAGGGGGTTGAAGCAAGGAGAAGAAGTTCCATGTGGTGGTGGGCCTCGTCTAATCAGGTGAAGAGACAGCATCTTCTTCTTTTTTAAATTTGGCCACGGTGCACAGCATGTGGGATCTTAGTTCTCCTGACCAGGGACCGAACCCTCACCCCTTGCACTGGAAGCGGTGAGTCATACCACAGGACCACCAGAGAATTCTAGGTGAAGTTTTAAAAGCAGACACTGAGGTTCCCCAGAGAACATAAAATTCTGTCTCCAGACGGCAGTGTCAACTCCTGCCTGGGTGTCCAGCCTGGCCCCCTGACCTGCGGACTTCAGACTCACCAGCCCCACAGTCGCACGAGCCAATTCCTTGAAATAAATGTCTCGCCATCCTTATGCATACCTATCACCATATGTGTCTACTTTTCTCCAAATAGATATGTGCAGCTGTATCTGTTTCTATAGCTAGACAGATACCTGTGTATCTATCTTCGTGTGTATGCAGTTGGCCCTCCGTGGCCCTGGGTTCTGCACTTGTAGGGTCAGTTGTATGAGACTCTCTCTGCCTCTCCCTATCTACATCTATATATATATGTACATATATCCACACACACATATATAAATCTCTCTGTATATCCAAAGCTTACATCTCATCTCTATCATCTACCAACTATCTATCTACCTATCAATTTAACCTACCTATGCGTCTGCCTGGATATATCTATAGCTCTCAACCAATCTATCATCTACCTACTTACCTACTGTCTACTTACCTATCATCTCTATCTACCCATCTATCTGTCTACCTATTTGTCCATCTATCATCTCTACCTACCTATCTATTGATCTAGCTATGTGTCTATCATCTGTATCT